CTTTTAGATCTCTCTCCTTGATTCTCTGCACGGGGTTGACTTCTTGCGTCGCATAAGCACCACCTATGTACATACGAAGGTCCGATGCTCCCCGTGAGGAAATATACCCTGCGACACAATCACCAACCAACCTTCACCCTGATAATACTGCGCGGTATCCCGCATAACTCTGGCGTAACTACGGGCCCGGTTAAGGTCACAAAAATCCCCGGACTCTTGGCAACTAATCCCGGGATTTTCGAGATTTGTAATTTGCGCTGATGGCAATAATAGAACCTCCTTTTCTTGACCAATATTGGCTATATTTCTTCTTTTATTTAATAATTAATATTTTTTTATAAATGTCTAGCTCATTGTACATATAACACCGTGCGATAGTAAATTTTAAACACAAATATCAATATATTCGCGAAACCATGGGCCAAGTATAGTAAAATAGCGTTTTTAGTTTTTCACTCTCACGTCAGTAGCTCAAAGTTATTTAAAAAATTCACAGAAATCTGCTCAGAGATTTAGTGTGGGTATCCAATTAAAGAGAAAAGCCTGTAGAATTTAAACAGATTCAAGATTTTGGTGCAGAAAGACTGGTAAATATTGAAAATGTCCTTTTAATATTGTGTTCTTGAAATTTCGCAATATGTTACATATGTTATCTATATAAACTCGATAACATCTTCGAATTTCGTCCTTATAACTTTATCAGTTTAAAAATTACTTATTTGTCCTTGTGAATCCAAAAATTTAAATTGTTTAAATTCTTGCATTTGGTACTTTTATTCTACATTGCATTGAATTTCTTAAATAATTTTTAAAATTAATTGTATCTTTGAAATTATAAATAATTTGATTTGAGTTTTGTGCTGTCAACGCGATTGACGTAGCTTTTACAATAGAAGCTCGGTTCGAAATAGTGAAAAGAACTCGACTTGCTGGTCAAAGCTGGTGCCAGTCAATTAGTTACATTTCCATTTAAGTTTTTACGTCTGCGCGAAGGCGTTTGTCTGGCAATATACTTGCACCTGAGTTACCCCGTATTGTGGGGAATGTCATAAATTTCATTAAGACATTATTTAATCTAGAAAAAAGTCTAATTAGCAAAAAGATAAAGCAAAAATATTGATTTAACTGAGAAACACAAAAAGCTTTTTTTACAGTAATTATTTGCACTATGAATTCAAACAAAGTTAAGAGATTTCATAAGAAGCACTAGCGCGCAGGCTAAGGCTATGGTCAGACACTTATATTCTGCCCACAGCGTATGTAATTATCGCTTTTTTTTGCAAATATTAGAATACAATGTAGGAAGTTTATTTGCCAATACCAGATTTTAGTAAACTTAGCTACGAAAAAGCTCTTATATGTACTCATAGTCATGGCGGCGAGTCATTAAGAATCCATCAAATTTTAACTCGCCATCCTCTTTACTTAACTACTTACAACCACACGTTTTTAATTGGCAAATACTTGTTGTTATACTATTGGCAGTGCTTACAAATACAGTAATTACAGCAAATATTTCTTGTTCAATGTGCTTTTTACTACAAGAAACATATGCATGTACATATGTACATTAGGGTGGTCCATTTTTTTCCAGCATACTTGAAAAATAATAATTAAAACGAATGCGTTGAGCTGTTCGTGGTGATGCGGTTATGAACACAAAAATTTATTTATTTTCAAAGACCACATTCCGACTGAAAATAAAGCGGGTACTTGGGGGACAAGCCTTTACTACGAACGGTTTTTGCTTCTCAAAGGATGCCTTTGGCCAACTTAGTGATGAAAAATCCCCATATGGAAACTTTTTCTTTCCAATTTAGGCCGCAATTTTGAATTTCGGCCGTACTGTGCGGTGGCACTGTTGAACATTAACCAATTTCAAAATAATAAAAAAAAACGGTGTTCTCATTTTTTATAACTAATGCGCGCTTGCACTAATCAATTTAAATTTTATTAGTCTGTTAAAATTTAAATTACACAATTTTGGTCGGAAAATTTGTCATTTTAAATTTTAGCAGTCTGATAAGTTTTAAAATTGTTTGGTGAAAACGGGCATAAGTGCCATTTACTCAGATAGGTTTTAAAATTTATGTGCACTTCAAACACATTTTTTTTTAAGAACAAGTTTTTTTTAAAGAGCAGATAAATTTTAAAACCTACTAGGGAAAACAGCCCGTACAGTGGCCGCAGAACAATTTCAAAATTTGATTTTGCTTTGCATGTTTTTACCACCCTAATAAACATACATTTCTGCTTCTGTTAACCTACATGTTAAGCGTGTATTTGTAGTAGCACATGCATATTTTTGCTCATATGGGTTAATTCAATGCAACAGTCTTCTCGGCTGTCGGTTGCGTGTTACCAACAAATCACAATTCTTAATAATTATCCAAGTTGCACATGCAATGCGTTGGTATTACGACACGAAAATCAGTTAGCTAACGTACGTCACGCTCCACTGGCGGCTATCAAGGAGCTGTTTACATATATGTACATACATATGTATGCTATACGAGTATGTAGCTAAAAATGTCTATAAGTATACAAAGTCACAAAAATGACCCCATAGCCACGTGTGCATTGGAGTGTGTTGTTATTTTTACTTTAACGGTGTACTTTTAGTACTTATAAGTACCGTTTACATCTGCGTTTGTATATGATTAAAATTTGCGGTTTTTATAATTTATATTTTTTTTTTTGCAAATTGCTGAAACTCTCTTCGATTTTCGTCGAATTTCGCGAGAGAAATACATTATATATACTAGAGTTGCTAAAACTAAATAAACGAGTAAAGGTACCAAAGCATCTGGGATTGAACCGGCGCAAAGAAAGTATTGGTGAGTGGGATTATAGGATGATTCGGTACCCAAAGTTGTTGAACCACATGCCTTGACCAGTACTGGACTGGCATCCGGACAGTCTTTGAAATTTGGGGATGTAGGGAAGACCCCAGTCAGTCACACTATGTTAGTGAAGGCCTAATGCCTCAGGAGGCCAAGAAGAACGACCACTGACAGCAATAAGTCGCTGCAGATCTCAGTCCCTTGGAATGCAGTCCGAAGAAAAGCAGGACCCCTACTGAGATAGTGGCCAGGAAGCTCGGAGTTAGCTATACAAGACCACAGGTTTTAAATAGAGTGAAACGGTAGTTAAATGGGACCTATGTGAGTGCAAGTGAAAACACTTGAGGTGGCTAAGACAAAGGTCCAGTTTCGGGGAGAGGCCAGTAATAGCAACAAGGGGCTGTAGAGGTGAGTCCTCCGGAGGCAATCTGGAGAAAAATAATAGCCGCACTGAAACAGTTTCCAGGTAACCCAGAGTTGGCTATGCTAGCGCCACTAAGGGAGTTAGACTAGCAGTTATATCGAATAATTTCCCTGAAAATAGCTATTCAATCTCATAATAGTTCAGAATTAGGGAATGCATACCAATTTTTAGAAGGTATTCAGAAGAAAGGATGAGAAGAAATGGTGAACTGCGCTCGCGGGTCGCGATACTGGCAACAGAGGTATAGGAAGGCCTCCTCTCAAACGTATTATTATTTTTTAATTGCTGGAATTTTTTGTCACAAGTTCTCTACATTCTTAGTGTATGTACACTAGGGTGGTTCAAAATAAGTAAAGTCGGAATTTTATACTCTCATCCCGTAGAATTTTTCTATCTCGAAAAAATGTACTCCATTTTTTTTTTGAAATCAAAAAATTTTTATGTATTTATATGGGTAAAAAAAACAACTTTTCGAAGAAATAGTATAGAATTCTTTAAAATTAATATTTTTCGTTTGAAAGACTCTGTTTCTCTTCAGGAGACTTCCAATAACAACAACCGATTGTTTATTTAGCCATTTTTTTAATACTAAGGGTTTTTATTTATCCACCCATGCATTTTCTGGCATTTTATGGGGTCTTGGCGGACCTATAAAATATAGTTATTAAGAAAAAATATTGATGATCAAGAATTCTATACCATTTCTATGAAAAGTTTTTTTTCCCCCATATAAAATACATGGAAAACTTTGAGCGCATTGAGCGACCTCTAAATAGTTTTTGATTTCAAAATAAAAAGAGGGGTATATTTTTTCGGTATTGAACAATCCGACTTTACTTTTTAACATGCATTTTTGGACCGCCCTAATGTGCACACAGAAAATTGTGCCGAGTTGGATGGCGACGGGTGCAGCAAAGCGGAGCGGAGGGAAGTTACAGGTGTTCACACTGTATGAGCAACTGCAATCAATGCAAAGCAACGGAATTATTTAGTTGTTCAGTTATTTTCAAAAAACAAATATTCATTTATTTATTTTGATCTTTCGTTCGCAGCAAAGTCTGAGCTCAAAAATCAAATAGAAAATCTTAAATCAAAGAAATCTTTGGTTCAAAACGCTTGCTTGAAAGAGATTGCTGTATCAACACAGTAGTTTTAAAGCCTCGCTACTCTCGGAACGGACTCGGTTGGTTTTTCAATAAAATTGTATTTGTTTACTAAATTTTCTCTTTCAGCCTTATATCGCCAAATCTGCCAAAACTTTTTTAGTACAATTTTTCCCCATTTTTTCGATACCATACATATTTTGGAACGAAGTACATTAGTTCAATATTTTTTTTTTTTAATAAAAGGCAATAGCTTTGAATAAACAAATTTTTCGTAGCAACATTTGACTTTATTGTGATCTGCTCCGCGAACTCAGCCTTCTAAAGCCACAATGATAGCCCGCCTGACAGACCATGAACTAGTTCAGAAATTTATCATGCTTTTGGGTTGAACATTTTTCGTAAACATTGATCTGCGAAAAACTAACGCTGGATCTTGAAAAGACTTGAATAGGCCCAGCGAGTCCCAGAATTAAGTAATTATTTTAAAATCTGCATACTCACACTTATCTAATAAATGTTTATGCTTATTATAAAGTAGCATATAAAAATCCGGCGGTAAAACAGTAGTGAAGATATGGTAAATATGTAGTAAAAATTTGCAAGTATTATTTCAAAGTTTAGACTCACCTCAGTTTTGCAGGCATTCAAATCTAAAGCTGGCAACAGTCTTTCGATGTACTTTAGATACTTATTTATTGAGCTGATTTAATTTTTCTACCGCTCTTAGTACTCGCTATTGTATCTTAAGTCTCCAAAACAAACTTTTGGTTGAAGCAAAAATAAAACAAAAGCAATTGAAAAAAAAACCCAATACTCAGAAACAACAAAAAAACTAGCGCACAAAAAAATCCTAAAGTGGCCGACCGAAAAGATGTTGAATTAGCCGAAAAAGGTGCACCAGCACTGCGGGCAACCTCAACTGCAAGCAAGCAACAAAAGACACAAAAGTACGAAAACCCATAAACGCCAGCAACAGGCCAAGCGCAGACACACTCGGCCTAACAACCAAATAGCAGCCAGCAAAGCATCCAGCAAGTTAAAGCTAAAAGTTTGTAAGCCAAAACTTGTTGCTGCTTTTCGCTGCTACTACTCGCACAACAGACAACTACAAATTTTTTGGCTTGTTGTCGTTATGAGATTTCTTTTGCTTTTGCCAATAGTGTGTGTGTGTGTGTGTGTGTGCCTGGTGCTGTTATTTATTCTTTGCTTTTTTGGGTTAATATGCAACTTGTTGTTGCTGTGTTTTCTTAGTGATTGTTGTTTTTACTTTTCGTTGCTTGCTGCTTTTTCGAAAAACATTTTGCTTTTGGCCAAAACTAGCTTAACACATTTTAGTTAGTTTTTGTTTTGTTTCCTTTGTTTTTTGTTATAAACCTTTTCAATGTTCTTTTATGTTTCGTTGACTATTTTTTTTTTTTGGTCTTTGTGGGACCTTAACTTGTTTATCTTTTACGTGTGATGTAAAATGAGATTTTCGGTGAATATGCGTTATGCTTCGCATTTAATTTTTGTGTTTATTTAGCTATATTTTTTATTTATATTTCGCCAACTTGATTGACGAATTCAAAGGAAAAACCAATAAACCGTAAACACACGAAACAATAGTCGCAATCAGCATACAAAAGTGGCCAACCAGCCCAACAATGACACAGCCGCCAAGTCGACTACCTACCAAGTTGGCCCGTTTGCCTTGAGTTGCCAAAAATGTTTTGCTCATTGTAGTATATGTACGTATAACGAAGTATTAGGGTGCATCACCACAAAAAACTACCGTCAAAATATTTAGAAAAAATATTAAAGTTTACGTGAGCTGGACCGATTTGGAAATACAGTAGAATCCGTTTATAACGACTGCGCAACCTCAAGTTTCAAAAAAAGTGTCAAAATGTATAAGATCCCAAAAAATTTTAAGCTTCGCACAACATGTTATTGCATGTTATGCAGTGACTTAACTACGAACCTGGTGTGGACAGACGTAAATTTCGGATTTTCCCTCTTTTTCATTTATTCAAACCAACCACAATCAAGGGAAACTATGCTGTCGCTATTAAGACTTGATTATGTGGTTGTTCGGTTTGTTGTTATTTTTAATTATGTTCTATTTTTAGAATGTTAACTTGAAGGCGTCCTTAAGTCTTTTTTTTTGTTATTTTCTGGCCTAATAACGACATATATTAAGCTTGAGGCCATTATTAAAGAAAAAAAAATATTTTAAAACTAATTTTATTAATAAAAAAATCTGGTATTTTTAGCTATTTTCGAATAAGTTAGCTCACTTTAATTTTATTATTTTTCTGCAGTATTTTGGCGGAAGTCTTAAAATATAATAAATTTTATATTTCTGTTGGAAAAGAATAGCTGATTTATTTATTTTTTTTGAGGGTGATGTATCCTAATATACATATCTACATGTGTCTATATCCACATACACATATGTATTTGAATGCGTATACGCTTTAAGAAACAGAGCCAAAGTCGAAAAAACAGCAGCAAGAGTAAATTGCTTTTAGTTTGAGCTGTGCAAATTGACTTTGGGTCCGAAGCTGAGTTCAACTACAAAGAGTTTTCTGTTTTTTTTTGGTGCAGCAACTTTTGCAAACCTTGTGTAGGTATTTAAAAATGTGGTAAAAAAATATATGTAGGTGAATAAGTTTGATATATTCTCAGTTGTCAATGGTAGGTAATTGCCACCTAGGGGCGCGCACGCGCAAAATAATATCTGAGAATTGCTAAAAGTCGAACATGAATGCGATTTTAATTGGTTTTCCGTAATGAAGTTTTTATGAAATTTTTAATATTTATTAGAGTTAATTAATTTCTTCACTCATTTTTTTATTTTAGTTTAGTATTCACTTGTAGATGACATCATACGTTATTCTCGTATATACATGAAAAGCCTCTTGGCACAATTTTGCATGCAAACACTGTTTGTTTATTTAAAATGGGGTACATATATACTGTGCAGTTCTAAGCTTCCGCAGTCAAATCATTCGTTGCCTAGCATTGGCTAAAACGCGGATATTAGATTTTCACTGCTGACCCCGTTCAGATTGCACATCGCAATAAAGCTTTTAGCTGCGCATCTACATATAGCTGACATCAAAGCAGATTATCAGACTCTTAGCTAATTATTCATCATGTTTTTTTATTGTATTTTTTTTTCTTCCAGCTAGTCATTTGCACAAATTGTTTCCACACCTTGGGCACTACACAACCGCAGCAATTATGTAAAGGGTCAGTCGCAGCTTAGTGCTAAAATTGGCAATTTATATCTGTCTATTGCTTTTTTACTCGCAACTACAGTGAAATTCGCATTGGAATACACACCCGCTCATAGAAAATTTTTTTTTTTTAAATTTTAACAACGATTTTGCTTCTTTTTTTGTACTTTAACGCACTTGTGTGAATATTTGTGTTGCAATGGAATTTAGTTTACATTCGTCGCTTTACACAACAATTTGTTTTTCTCTTTCTTATTTAACCATTCGTGTTTTTTTTTGTTATGTTTGTTTTGTCTAATTTTACATTTACAAATTTTTTGTACAATTCGCTTTTTTTGGGTTTGTCGCTTGGCGTTTGCGCTCTCAATGCCGCACTAAACTCATTTACTCACTTCAATTTTAATATTTGTTTGCTTTGTTTTTTTTTTTTTTCTTTTTCCTTTGTATTTGTAATACAAAAAAACAACAAACCGACTAGCCAAATACACTACAACTAAATAACTGCAAATAGTATCTAGTAGCTGCCAACGTTTGAGATAGCACAAAGTATTCCGTACCGTTGCCCGAACTGTTTGGTTACCTGCTCACGACTGTTTTAGCCATTCGCAACGAAGCTTACCTGTAGCCGTTTTAGCTAATACCAATAGTCATGCCCCGCGCAACGCTACGCCGCCACCGCAAAATGCCACCACCAACAGCACCGAGCACAGCGTAACGAAAAATAACAACAAAAGCAAAGGCGCTTAACACAATCACGTCCAGAAGCGCTTGTTACGCCTCGCGCGCTCAGCTAGCCAGCCAGCCAGCCAGCCATAAAACACTTTGAACCACTTTTATTCTTTTTTTTTTGATTTTTTATTTTTTTTTTTTTTGCTTTTCTCTACAAGCTCAATGCGCGTTTTTGTAGAGTTTGATGCAGCGCAACGGGTTTAACAAAACAGCAGCAGCATTTACTGACGTTGTTAAAGTTTAGTTAGAGTTGGTGTAGCTGGTAGTGGTGAATTAAATGGAGTTGTGGTGAACTTTCGCAGCTTCTGTTTTTGTGTTTGAAGCTCAGCTTTGCGTTTTGTTGTTGCCTTGATACGGCTGCTGCCTTGCTTTTGTCATTGGCTTTGCAATTTAAAGCTTGGCTGAGATGTGTGAGCGCGCGCGATTTTAGAGCTACCAAGATACGGATAAACTGGTAAGGTGGACTTTTGAGGGCGATTAATGGAAATGACGCCAAGAAAGTTAATTCAGATAGATAGATAGATATTATTTAAAATGCAAACGCGAATCTAAGGAGCACTTGGAGCCGCACCTTGAACTTGGACACATTCTATATATTTGTAGACGTAGTATTCCCCGAGTATTTCAGTCAATTCAGTGAAACCCAACAGACATTCAGCCACTAGCCAGTGAATTCACTGCTTCCATGCTTCTTATAAAATTTTTGAAACTAATGTGATATGCGTTGGTTACCTTTATGACCATCAAATCAAATATCCATATACATATGTATATGAATATATAATAAGCGAAAACATTTTTTGAGAATTTCATCAGATCTGCTGCGATCGTACGATTTTCAAAAATGAGTTAGAGCTTTTTTAGCGGTGCATTGCGATTTAAAAATTTTATAAAATTAATAACCAACCACCACGCGAGACCTCTCTTCACTCTGCTGCTCAATGAAACTTAAAATAGAAATTAAGAATCTGCAGGAGAGCGGTTGAAATTTGTTGATTGAAAAATTACTAATTTGCTCATTTTTACGAAGCCATTTAAATTGGTTTGATGCGAATCTTATTTTCGGAATTTTCGGAAATTTCAATTATTCTGTATTAAATACGTGTAGTCGTTTCTACTTTTCAACTATCATCACCGCTATGTCATCTGCGTAAGCAATTAAATTTCCCGCATTTTCTAAAAATTTCTTTGGAAGTAGGTAGGCTTAATAAGATTATTAAAATATATATGTTTGTAAATGATTTATTTACATCAATTTGCTTCAAGATTAGCAGATTACATCAACTGAGGAGAATTAAAAATGCAGAAAAACTTTGCACGCTAGGCCAGACCTAACTTCATTAAGCTACTTGTAGGTTAAATTCGGCTTAAACCCTATGTGGGAGCCAAATAAAAGATCAACGATTTATTAAAAACTGTCGGGCAAAGCACCATGTCATAACTTATTACATTGAAAACCTGGTAAATATGCACATATATAAAATAACAGAATATATAAAATCTACTTTTGAAAAAAAAAAAACTAGAAATATATATTTGATTATATTATTTGAAGCTTTCGCGATTAAACTGGCATTTTGCATGCAATTTTAGTATCTATAGCATTGAATTCCTCATATGTACCGTTCTGGCTATATAAAAAAACATATGCAAAAAATATCACTTCAATTCAAATTGGATACGTGCATATGTATAGTTGAATGTTTGCAAGCTTGACGACAAACAGTTCAACCAACATTACCGCTGTTTGTCATGGTGTGTTGATTAAAGTTTTTTCTGCATTTTTTTGCTCTCCTTCACAATGCGCGCTCCACTCGCTTTATTGACACACCACTGCTTGAAACATCTTTCAAGGTGAAGAGAGTCTACAACAGCTAATGACTTAAGCGAGTCGCGAAGTCAGTAATTTCAAGCTTCGCTGATTTTTTTTATTCTGTTGCAGCGAGTACTTCAATTTAATAGCTGTTTTTGCTTTTCGATTCGATTGAAACCGTTATAATAGAATAATAAAAAATTGCCATAAAAATGCAAACCCATATGGCGTTTAATACATACGTTTGTATACATCAATTAAAAATAAACATTTATATACATTAGGGTGGAGTGAAATTATGCAGTTTTTGAAAATCCTTTTAGCATACCTGCAACAAGCCACCTTTTGTGCCCCAAAAATATTGGCGAAAATTATTTTATAAATAGCTCGTCATATATTTAGAGGTACAGAATTAAGCTTAGAAAAATATATACATGATTTTTAAGTGGATTTTAAAAAGATATTGTTGAGACTAATTTAGAATTGTTGTAAGCGAATTTATTTATTATTCCAAAAACAGTTTTCGAGAAATGGCTTAGTAATCTCAAAAAAACGTTCTCTGAAAAAATAAATTGATACCAAATTTGTGTTGGGCAACCTTAAATAAAAGGGTCAGTAAAAAATCTCTGAAGTAAAGTTTTGTGCGTTCAAAAATTAATCCTTTGGGGTCATAGAATTTTGAACCTTTATTTTTAGACAAAAAATGCAGCTTTCTTTGGGTATGCTCCGACCTAATGTACATACATACAAACATAGACATATACATTTGTGACATATAATGATTATAAATGTTTTGCAATCTTCATTTAAATAATCTCCATAGCAATCTGTTTTTCTTTTTTTTACCTCAGCCATACAAAAGCAGCGAACGAAATCGAACACAAGTTCACAATGATGTCACCTTTCTGTCGTATTGGCAATCCGAGCCAATTCAAGCATTCGCTTTGACCGAATGACTTCACAACAAATAACTTGCGGGTAGACGACTTTATACAAATTCA